TATACGATATACCATCTCCACATACGGATATTCCCATAAAACGATCCCAACACTCGAAGAAGTATAGTTCAACTTTTAAGGTGATATAAAATAATAAGAAAATGATATCGCGCTCCCACTGTGCGGCGACGCGCTTTGCCGCCATCTTGTTTTTCTTTGCCTCTCCACCCGGAAGTATAAAACCTAACAATTAGGCTTCCGACCTTTCAACAATAAACGTCCGAATTACCCCTCTACCCAATCTAACCATAATCCCGAGATACAAATTTCATTATTAACGTTTTGCCCAGTTTCTTTGTCATTTTCATGTCCCATTGCCAAGCGCAATAAAATAGCAATAAATGTACAATAAATTTTGCAAGAAATTCTATTGAATTGTGCTAAACTGGTAATGCCAGCTTTATGGACATTTTATTTTCGCCACTATGGGGCCAAAGAATTCCGCGCCTCGCGAAAACAAGATGGCGGCGAAAGCGCCATCTTGTTTTCGCGAGGCGCCCGGAAATTATCGAAATTGTCAGCCCGACTGGTCGGCTTCGTTATTCCGGTAGAAATGCCAACTCCTCGATAAGAGGCTTAATGTCCCAAGTGGTTCGGTATATCGGCGATATTGGAAGTATCGGAGATCTCTCTTAGCGCGTTAATGGTGCACTTGCGAAGCGCTTCATTGGCATTGCGATGTGTTTTTAAAATTATTGCGAAATTCATGCGAGGTCGCCGGGGAGTCCATTAGGAAGGATTATAAATGACTGCTTAAGTGTTTAAGTGGGTTCGCCGATGAAATTAGTTTCCAACCTGGATTTTTAATCTTCCTTTTAGAGGTTAATGCCCGGAATTGGCCGAAAATCTGGGGCAGGTTTGTCGGTATTTGAAAGGCTTATTGCTTGATTACAAAGTATAGTCAGCTGATAGAGTTATACGATTAAACAATTTAAGTTTAACCGATCAAAGGAACAAAACTGAGTTTATCAACAATAGTGCAAGAGTAACGCTCCGATTGTAAACCCAGATTCCGCACTTTTGTATTTCTATACGCTTTTCATTAACCCCTTGAACACGGAGCCATATCGACATAAGGGCGAAATTCGTCTGACCGTGCAGGCAATATTGGACCAAACGTCCGGCGCCTTTAGGCGCTCTTAGTGGCCAAAGGGTTAAATTCCAAATTCATGTATTTCTTTTAATGAAATTATTTTTCACGTCTCTTCGTTAGAATGATGTTCAGCCGAAAACATGGCGACGGTATTAAACAATCCAAGTTTAACCGATCAAAGGAACAAAACTGAGTTTATCTACAATAGTGCAAGAGTAACGCTCCGATTGTAAACCCAAATTCCGCACTTTTGCATTTCTGTACGCTTTTCATGAAATTCCACGGACCGTCATTAAGCATGTCGGTAACGCATAAGTGGCCCACACTGACGTAAGTCGTAATTAACATTAACACACGCGGTGCATTTGTAATTTCCCTTTGCGGAGGAGTCCAAGTATGCGCTCTACAGTACCGACTTGTTATTAAGATGCAAGTGAAAGGTCAGGTGTTGGCTTTTCTAAGAGAGACCGGCTTGTCGGAAATTTTCAATACATATCGAAAAGTATTTTCTCAGCCGGAGTTCCTTTAAGGTGAAGTGAAACCCCCTTCAAATCAGTCGATTCGAATACAACACATTTTTTTAAGGGTATTAGACCAAACTGTCCGAAACTTTGACACATCACTCCAAATCATCTAAGAATTGTCCTGACAAATTCATAATTTGGATTTTTTAACAAATTCGCGAATTCATCGAAGCAAATATATTCCCTTCGTTAAATATAATCCATCATGAAGTGATTGCAATGATAACAAACCGTATTCGGTAATTATTTTACCCGTTGAAAATTTGTAACATGTACAATTAAAAACGAAGAAAATTGTTAACCCAACTGTTTGTTTATCCACATAAGTCCCGCGAAGTGGAAAAACGCTCTTACCGAATGCTTAACCATTGTCTCTTTATCAGCGTGCAATTGTCACGGTAAATCACTTTAAAAGTACTTTTAAGGGTCCGAACAGTGCAACACAAAGGCGTTATTTAAATTCCGATTCTAATCGTTGATTTATAGCACTTGATTTAAATCAACGCAACCCTTACTGCGATATGTATAATTCACATTTGCAACTAGACATTCCGAATTGCCGGTTTTTAACCGCAAGAAGGATTTGTCCAGGGATGTAGCGGTGAAATTGTAAATTGAGCAATAAATAAGCAATAAATTTTTCCTACATTTTGCACCACATATTTTTCTTTTTAATTTCACGCAAAATGTCAGATGGCTATGCCAGCTTAATGTTAAAGCTGGCATAGCCATTGATTTTTTGAAGCTGGAGCAATAAAATTCAAATTTGTGTAATAAATAAAAAATAAAAAAGCAATAAATGTTGGTGCATGATTTATGCGGTTACGCTGCTAGCTTTAGGGACGTTCAATTACAGTACTTAGTACCGAATTAATTTAACCGAGACTAAAACACTGACTTTATATGCAAATTGGCTTCTCTTAATGATAAAGCACGAAATGAACTTCAAATCTAAACCGTTGTGACAACAATTAAAATTAATAAAGGCCGATCATAATGCAAATCTGTATCTACATCGAAAGGTGGAGAATTTCTTGCCTCTCTCGGTACTTTGCAGGAATGCAAAATGATTGAGAATAATGTTTAATTTTAATCACTTGATCGTTCAATCGTGGTTAAGATTTGCAACATTTCTTGCACTTATCAACGACAGATCTAAATGTCTGCTGGATTATCTGAATAACTTGCAATTTGGTTTATTAATTAATGTCACGTTAACTCTGGACTGTAAGAAACATTGCGAATGAATTGAACTTTACTGCAAGTTACGCAGTTGCAATTTTGATAATTTACAGTCGCAGGATCAGAGTCACTCATGTCACAAATTACCTGTATTTACTGTCTTATGTGTGACAGTTCTATATCTAGAGACCATTATCAAAGATGGAAAATACCAGGAAGCAGAGATTTAATTCTCTCGGAGATTGTAGGAATGTATAACAATGCATCGGGTGGACATATTATAATATTAGGGGTACCCATAAGTAATCGATTACTTTGAAAGAGGTGTTTTCGACGAGTACGAGTACCCCTAATATACTAGGTTGATGCGAAAGTAATGGCGTTTTGTTTATGTATAGTTAACGATAATATCAGGGGTACCCATAAGTAATGAATTATTTTGAAAGAGGTGTTTCCGATGTAAAAAAAATTGATTACTTACGAGTACCCCTAATATACTAGGTTGATGCGCAAGTTAATGGCGTTTTTTTATGTACAGTTAATAATTCTTTAAAACCTTCAGACGCACAGAGTGGAACTCAAACCGTTAACACAACGCTCATTCGTAAAATGAAAATTTCCAAGTTTTACAACCCTCCACACGTCAAACGTTATTATCAAAATATCCTACTTTTCTAAACGCCTCGACAGGGTGGAACTCAAACTCTGTCGACGTAACGCTCTCCTGTAAAATGAAGATTTCCAAGTTTTACGACCCTTTCCAGATCGAATGGTATTATCCTAATATCCTACTTTTCTAAACGCCTCGGTATGCGAACTAAGACCAGCTTCGACAACCTCTGCATTCTCCACCCAGCTGATAACGCACCCATGTACATCGTAATTGTAAGCTAGATAAACATATACGAGACAAAGTGTTAAACCGGAATCCCGTTAGCGCGAGTAATGAAAAATTCGAGTTTCATAAGACTCGCCGTGCCAAAGAGCAATATTATACCCGGGGAAAGACGGAGAATGCGCGTAGGCCGATCAAAGGCCGTCGGATGCTGGAGGAAACTCACCACGACCGAGGTGCGTCAAAAGAGCCAGCGAAAGAGCGAGAACATTCGGCTCCATTAGGCGTCCGCGGCGGACTCGCCGCGCCCGTTCGGACTCGCAGCAGACTCGTCGAAGCAGGCGACCCAGGTCGGCGGTGAGCCGGGCATTCGGGTTCACTGGAAGCGCGGGACCGCCATCGGGCACTCGCGTTTCCCTCCAGCGGTCACGTCACTGTCGGCCGTCGGGCCGCGCGATGTACCGAGTCCTCTTGCCCTGGCCGAGGGCGCCATTTCTCCCTAGGTCCGACACGAGGAGCTGCGCGCTCGCTTCTGGCCCGTTCGACTCGAACCCCGCTCGACGCGTTCCTTCACGGCTGACATGCAGCGACGCGCGTCCGCATTGTCTCCTCCACGACCGTCTGACAACTCGCCGCCATCTTGCGAACAAAGAGTTTTAGATAGAGCGGAATGTATTTTCGAGTATAGTCATCAGCGCTCCCTGGTGGGAGGGATATACACTAAATACACGTACTACTTCGCATGCCTCATCCGGCGGGGAATTTGAATGGGTGAAAAGGAACGCAGTATAAAATACACATGAAAGACAGTGACGCGCGCCGCGTTGTCTCCATGGAACTTATAGCTCTAAGAATATATTCTTACGTCCATGGTCGCCACGACTGGGCACGACGTGACGCCTTTCAAAGTGTATCGTGTTTTTTTATTAATTGCATAGAACATTCTTCTCAATTAAAACAACATTTTTCTCGAATCTTAGTAATATATTGGATTGAACAGTGGTTCAGATTTCTTAATAGAGTTCCTCGTGGAAAAGACACTCGCATTAATGCCGAAAGTTTTATTATAAAAGAAGCTTGCCAACGGCATACGGCAAAATTGAAAAAAAATATTAATAAATAATTTTAAATCTGAAAGCCTCGAAGAGGAACTAAACTGGTTAATCTTCGCTGCGTTTTCGTAATGAAAATTCTAATGTTATATCATTTAAATGAGACGAGATGAAATGATATTGTCAAACTGTAAGGATATAATTGTCGGTAAGTTGTAACATAAGCTTCGCGTGAATTCTGCATAGAGGGCAGCACGAAATTCCGACTAGTCAAATTGATTCCTGAGATTGCTCTTGAATAATCTCCTAATTCGTCAAGAAGTTTATCGTGGGCTTTGTAGCGTCAATTATGGCAACGCAGATATATGAATTTTATTTTTAACTATCTTGTAGAAACAATATGTGATCGTAATTGTACGTAATTGCGAGTACAGAAGAAATAGGGAAAGGAGCCATGGTTCGGAACAGTGAGAAGTGAGTACACATCCTTCGTTCCATTTTGAGGTTATCGTACGAACGCTTGTGTATGTCTACGTTTTTCGTATATTTCATCCTATTATGAAAATATTTTATTACGCACTAGTGAAAGTGTACTTGCATGATTGTTTTTTATAATTTTTCACAACTATGTGAAAGTATTGTATCAGTATAACTGATATAACATATGGATGAAATTAGTGCAACGTTAGGTTTTATACAATTTTTATTTTTCCAGGATTATGTATTGTATCAATACTTATGTTTGTATTTCTAATTGTAAATATCTAGAGAAAGCTTGTGATAAATTTACATAAGAAATTTATATGAAAAGAATGTGCATAAAAGTTATTCTGATAAATATCAGTGTTATTGTTTAAGTATTAATTTCAATAGTAAAGGAACGTTGAATGAAAAGAAAATTGATTACTAATGTAAATTATTTTCATCAGAGAGAGGCATTACAGGAGACGGTCTAGATCAAGATCAAGATCACGTTCTGGTTCAACAGAAAAGAAACGCCGGCGGTCGAGAAGCAGAGAGAGGGAGCGTGATAGAGAAAAGCCCCGTCATCGAGAAAGACGGAGTCGGTCCAGAGAAAGAGAAAGAGAGAGGAGCGATAGGAGGGAGAGATCCGAGAGAGACAGGGATCGTGACAGAAAAAGGTATGAAATTATTTTAAAACTGATGTTTAGCTTTGTAAAAATAAATGAAACCAGAAGGTATTAATGAATGAACATTTTGTGTTCTCGGTTTACTATTAGCGATGGCAAAGAAAAGCGTATTAGCGGATCTAAATCCTCTCGTTCTGGCAAAGAGCGCTCTAATCGATCGCGCTCACGAGATCGTAAGGACAAGGAGAAGGGAGAAACAGAAGATTTACCATTTGACCATACAAAATTAGACAAGGTAATTTATAATTTTATTGAGATTATGGTTAGCTAATAGTGTTAATAATTATCATCATCTAAAGAACATTTCCATCTTGTCTGCTTATCTTTGAGAAAAAGAAAACCATGTTACGCAATCATGTCAATAGCAGTTGAAATTTTACCTTGAAGTATTACATACGAATTGTAGGAAGAAGAGCAGAAGAGACTCGAGCTTGAAATGCAGAAGAGGAGAGAACGGATTGAAAGATGGCGGGCGGAGAGAAAAAAGAAGGAGATGGAAGCAACTAAAAAGGATGGCAAAACTTCAATCTTAGCAAATCTTCAACTGCCTATGAAAAAATGGTCTCTGGAAGACGACAGTGATGAAGAGACTCCAGTTGTACAGAATAGTAATAAGGAGGAGAAGGAAGAAGACGTAGTAAAAGAAGAAATCAAGGAAATTAAGGAGGATATTAAGGAAGAGGAAGAAGTAGATCCTCTCGATGCTTTTATGGCTGAAGTGAGTTAACTATTCCTTTAAGAGGAAATAATTATTTCATTGTGGTAAACGGTTTCCATTAGTCTGTAATTTACTTTTCAATCGATCAGGTTCAAGAGGAAGTTCGTAAGGTGAATAAGCTGGATAACAAATGTCCAAAAACCACTAATAATGGAACAACCGCTACAGGTCCTCAAAGCGGAGGAGTAGTCATAGTCACGGGAGTGGCCAAAAAGAAGGACCAGAAACAAAAGGGAGAACTCATTGAACAGAATCAAGATGGGTTGGAATATTCAAGCGAGGAAGAAGGAGAAAATTTGCACGAGACTGCAGCTGGTATTGCCAACAAGCAAAAGAGAGAACTAGCTAAAGTGGATCATGCCTCAACGGAGTACCAACCTTTTAGGAAGTCTTTCTACGTCGAGGTTCCAGAAATAGGTATTTTAAGAAAAATTGTATAAAAAACATACAATAATAATATTAATAATAATAGAGGAATCGATTTCATAGAAACTGGCATCTGAGTGATCAATTGTTTACGAAACTTTACTCCGGACTGGGTATATCAAATTGTTTTTAATTTGGAGCCTCCGAATTCACATGGTAGAATTTCAAAATTTTTGGTGGAAAATTTTATAAATGAGACCTCTCAGATGCAACTTTCTTATTACCTTGAAACAATGTTAATCAACCATTTTTTTTAAGAACCTGTCAAATTGTCAAATTTTCTTTTCAGCAAGGATGACGCAAGAAGAGGTAGACGCTTACAAAGAAGAATTAGAAGGTATTCGAGTTAAAGGGAAGGGCTGCCCGAAGCCCATCAAATCGTGGGCTCAGTGTGGGGTCACCAAGAAAGAATTGGAAGTCTTGAAGAAACTTGGTTACGAGAAACCAACACCTATTCAATGTCAAGCAATCCCTGCAATCATGTCAGGCCGTGATCTTATAGGAATTGCTAAAACGGGAAGTGGAAAAACTCTTGCTTTCCTGCTTCCAATGTTCCGGCACATCTTAGATCAACCTCCACTGGCTGATGGAGATGGGCCGATAGCTTTAATCATGACTCCGACAAGAGAGCTCTGCATGCAGATCGGAAGAGACTCGAAGAAATTCACGAAATCTTTGGGTCTGTCCCATGTATGTGTGTACGGTGGTACTGGGATATCGGAGCAAATAGCAGAATTAAAAAGAGGTGCGGAGATCATAGTCTGCACTCCGGGTAGAATGATCGACATGTTGGCAGCCAACAGTGGAAGAGTGACTAATCTCCGGAGAGTGACCTACGTCGTCTTGGATGAAGCCGACAGGATGTTCGACATGGGCTTCGAACCCCAAGTTATGAGAATTATGGAGAATGTTAGGCCCGATAGGCAGACCGTGCTGTTCAGTGCTACGTTCCCTCGACAGATGGAAGCTTTGGCCCGTAGGATTTTAACCAGACCCGTGGAAGTACAAGTTGGTGGGCGCTCCGTAGTCTGCAAAGATGTCGAGCAACATGTTGTGGTTCTCGAAGAGGACCAAAAGTTTTATAAGCTTCTCGAGATCCTTGGTCACTACCAAGATAAAGGGTCTGCTATCATTTTTGTGGATAAGCAGGAAAATGCTGATACTCTTTTGAAGGACTTGATGAAGGCCTCGTACTCTTGTATGTCACTTCATGGTGGCATCGACCAGTGCGACAGGGATTCTACCATGTTGGACTTCAAGGCTGGGAGGACAAAACTTCTTGTGGCTACTTCAGTGGCTGCGAGAGGTCTTGACGTGAAACAGTTAGTGTTAGTCGTTAATTATGACTGTCCGAACCACTACGAGGACTATGTGCACAGATGTGGTAGGACTGGTCGAGCTGGAAACAAAGGGTATGTTCTTTGGTTTTAATATAAAGGTGATGTAAAGACGGGCTTGAACTATCAGTTGCTTGCATGATCTTTTTTAAAAGATGCAGGAACCGATTCGTCGAGATTTTAACACATAATTATAGAGGTGTTAAGACCGAACCGTTCACCTTGAAAAACATTGTTCAAAGTCATAATTTTCTTTTTTAAGGTACGCATACACCTTTATTACATCGGAACAGGAACGTTATGCCGGAGATATATTACGAGCCCATGAATTAGCTCAGGTTCCAGTTCCAGAGCCTTTAAGACAACTTTGGGAGACCTACAAGGCTCGGCAGGCTGAGCAGGGAAAGAAAGTGCATACAGGTGGAGGCTTCAGTGGTAAAGGTTTCAAGTTTGACGAGTCAGAGGCAGCTCTGGCAAACGAGAAGAAGAAATTCCAGAAGGCAGCTCTCGGACTACAGGACTCCGATGACGAAGACATTGAAAATGACATCGATCAACAGATCGAAAGCATGCTTGCACCAAAGAGGACCGTTCGAGAGATTTCCAGACCTACAGCAGCCAGTGTCAGTGTTCCTGGCCAGCCTGTACCAAGTGCCACGGATAAGTTAGAACTTGCCAGAAGACTTGCTTCGAAGATTAACATTGCCAAAAACTTGGGAGCCGAAGCGAAGGGTGCCACCCAACAAGCTGCGGAGGCCATTCTTAAGGGCGCTGGTCCAACAAATCTTATTACGGTATTACATTTTGTTACTCTATCCGTTCCTTTAATTAACTATTATAGTAACCATAACGACAAACACTAAATTTACAGGACCCATCAATTCGAAGGGTCCGAAGGACTCACGAGCAAAATTTCAGAAACTATTGCTATTTGTTTTCTTTTCTTTTCTATTGACTTTATTTATTGGAATGATATGAACATATATCTAAACTACATTTATAAGTCGTTTTCGTGGAATAATTATAAAGAAATCCAAGTAAAACTCCAGAAATCCTCTGGATTCATGCTTTCCGAGGCCCTAATTGACTGCAGAGGAACCCTCTGCGCCATCTGTGATTTTCGTGAGATCTCATTTTGTTTATCGACATTCTCTGCTCCATTGCAGGCCAAGACCGTAGCTGAGCAACTTGCTGCGAAGCTAAACACTAAGCTTAATTATCAACCGAGAGAGGAAGACCTCGTTGAAGGAGACGTCGAAGCAGGGGAGCAGACTTTCCGGAAGTACGAAGAGGAGCTTGAGATCAATGATTTCCCTCAACAAGCCAGGTGGCGAGTCACCAGCAAGGAGGCTTTAGCACAGATATCTGAGTACTCCGAAGCTGGCCTAACTGTTCGAGGGACATACATCGCTCCTGGGAAAGCTCCTCCGGAGGGCGAGAGGAAGCTTTACTTGGCCATAGAGTCTACAAGCGAGCTGGCAGTAAGCAAAGCGAAGGCTGAAGTGTCTCGACTCATCAAGGAGGAGCTGATCAAACTCCAATCCTCCGGTGCACATACAGGCTCTCGAGGCAGATACAAAGTTCTGTAAATCTCGCCCTCTCCTTGGAAAAAGGATTCAGAAGTCCCGTAGAAGCCCGGATCCTATGTTAGCGCTTGATGCTCTAAAAATCGGCTAAAAAACCAGAAGTGGGGCTAACAGAGAGATCGCATATGTTGCCCAACGATATCTCACACACGGGAGGAAGAGAGACGCATGTAGAAAGGCGAGTACTGTGTGCAAGATAAAGAAAGAATGCAATTCGCTATATACCGCCATAAGGTTAAGAGAGACGGAGAGATGATTACAGCGCCGCCATCCGTTGGCTAACGTACTATTCGTCGAGCATCGAACGTCCGTAGTTTTTTGGGCTTCTATGGAGACTTCTGAATTCTCTGCCTTGGACCAGATGCCGTTTCGAAGTTGCAGGGGAAACCATGGACTCGGTTATCGAATCTCCTCGGGATTACCTCTCCGAAGAGTGCAAGTAGTAGCTGAGAATATTCTGTAAACTTCGTCGTAACTGCAAACCGGATATACTTTGCAGGATTTCAGGGAAAAGGGGCTCTCCTAGTTTCTTACGTGGTTTTTCTATCAGTATGGAATCGGTTCTCACGTTAGATGTCACCTTATTGCCTTTGATAAACACTTGTATCGCCCTAAACCTGATGCGCTAATGTAAAAAGCAATGCAATAGAGTCTAAGTTTCTTATTTAATGGATTGTAAATACTTTCAGCAAAATCGACCTTTGTAAATGTAAGTTGTGAGGGGGAATGGATTCAACCACGAAGTAGTATAAGATCTAATGCCATGTATTGAAATCGTCCCCACTTTAGGGGTCCAAGATGTTCAGATTTTTTTCCGATCTAGTGCCGAGAGCGCCTCGATGAGATTTTGCAATTAAAAGTTATTGTCTGCTAGCGTGGCTGATAGTCTTTATCGCGTTAAAATCGTCAGTCTGTATATCATACGCGGATTATCGTTTCACTTTGCATATCAATGCATTTTAGGCAACTTACATCGATAGGAAATGTTTCGGTCATATAGTTCCCTCATTTTCCGCAAGTAGCGCTCGCACCGTTAGATCAGAAAACCTCTGAAATTATGGGTACCGATTCTGCGGCTTCTTTCCGTGGAACCGAGCATAGGCGTTGTCTCCTACTACTTCATGGATTCATCCAATTCCAATGTTTTGTTCATAACAATTGAGCATCGGCCCTTTTCGTATAATACATGCAGAGATGAGCGGGGAGATGTTTCACGGTATTGTCGAAAGGGAGGAACGGCTCCCTAGCGTCGTGGAACTGCTTTCAAAGGGGCGAAATGTTCTCCATCGGTAAAGAATAAACCCGTCTGCAGATTTCAAATACAGCACAGGGTCGATAGAATGACGTTATCGCCTTTTCGTTTTTAGTATCAGGGTCAACGTAGGTTGGGAAAGAAGATTACGAACACGAAATAAAGTTGTTATGCGTGGATGATTGAGATTACGGCGCGGCACCCACGTATACCCTGTTTTACCGATCAGGAAGATTTCGCCCCTTTGAAAGTAGTTCCAATTTTTACAGAGGTGTAAAGGGCGTAGAGGGCGCCAGGGGGCCGTGCCTCCCTTTCAAACAACGGCGTGAAACATCTCCCCGCTCATCACACATGAAATGCCAAGTCGAGAAGGAAAATATACAAGTTTATAATACAATTCATAAACTTTGTATGTCTTGAAGAGTCTGAGCCAGACTGGCCCCTTTTCCCCTGTGCCTTTGACTCACCATCCGTACAACTGTCTGGCGAAGGAACATTAAAAATTAGACAATTTATTATACATATGACCTACGATACAAAGAGTTAATATTTAACAATGATAACAAAGGTATCTCTAAGAGTACGAGAGCGATCGAGTATTTCTATTGGTATTTGGCGTTACGCTATTCGAATGGTAACTCTTAACATTTAAGAAAAAAAAAGAAGAAAAAAGAAAACATGAAAACAGGACCGTATTTACAATTTATAATTTACATCCAGCGAGTTTACTTATGCATTTCCTTTCCTATCCACTTATATACAAATGCACTCTTCCTGGCAGTTCTCTTTGGCAGTTATAACATTATTAATTATATATATATATATTTCACATTAATGTAGTCACTCTTGTATACACTAAGTAGGCACTAGAAAGATCACAGACTTGAAATAGGTACGTTTCGCTTAAACGCAGCTCAAATGCACCGTCGTCGAGGTCTGACTGCCCCAATTAAAATTAATCCTTTAATTATAAATTCACTTGGAGAGTTAATTACGAAAAATTGGTGCAGTCGAGCCTGGGTCATTAGTAACCCTCACCTTATGAATTTAAAGGCAGTGGTTTTGGGAAAGTAAGATTCCACGACAGTACCGGGTGAAATTATTAAGTTATCCTCTAGCAAATCTATTGCTAAGGGACGATTTTTATAAAAAATATCGGACTTGCGCCATTTGCAAGATTAATACTAAACCTACCGACGATTTATACTGCTATTACAAATACCATTTGACCTGCCGGTGGTAGGTTTAGTGCTAAGACTTGATCGCAATTGCGTGACCAAGACCAATACTTGATAGAGCAAGACCAAGACTATGGTACCCTTGTTCTTGGTCTTGCAGTTGTGATCTTGAGCTTGCACTATTTGCAAGATTAACACTAAATCTACCAACGATTTATACCCCCATTACAAATACCGTTTGACCCGCCGGTGGTAGGCTTAGTGTTAAGACTTGATCGCAATTGCGTGACCAAGACCAATATTCGACAGTGCAAGACCAAGACTATGGTACCCTTGTTCTTGGTCTTGCAGTTGTGATCTTGAGCTTGCACTATTTGCAAGATTAATACTAAACCTACCGACGATTTTTACTACCATTACAAATACCATTTGACCTGCCGGAGGTAGGTTTAGTGTTAAGTCTTGATCGCAATTGCGTGACCAAGACCAATACTTGATAGAGCAAGACCAAGACTATGGTAGCCTTGTTCTTGGGCTTGCACTATTTGCAAGATTAATACTAAACCTACCGACGATTTTTACTACTATTACAAATACCATTTGACCCGCCGGTGGTAGGTTTAGTGCTAAGACTTGATCGCAATTGCGTGACCAAGACCAATACTTGATAGAGCAAGACCAACACTATGGTAGCCTTCTTCTAGGTCTTGCAATTGCTCATCGCTATTAGGAATTGCTTCACGGATGAAACCTCCAGGCAAGGATCCACCCTAACGGAGCTAAGGCAAACCAGAAGCTGTTGGTGGAAGCTCCGGAAACTCTGTCGTGAGCGATCTCCGCCCTGGTCAAAGACCCCAAGGGCACTTCGGCCACGATCCTGGGACTTCTCTCCAAGATCCTGGCAACGAGCTTCTCCGCCTCGGCCACGCAAGCTGCAAGTTGAATACTGGAAGGCTTCTTCGAGACTGGCTGGATGACGACGAAGACGTCACCCTCTGGGGTAACCGATCCTCTCAGGGCGCACTGTGCGACCTGCAGCTGACGTCCAAGAGCGATCAGCATCGCTTCCAAAGTCACCGTATCCTTATCCCGGTCTTCCTCCATCACGTAGTAGATTCGGTCCAGCTGGGAATTGAAAAGGAAGGAATATAATCCTCGCGTAGAGATCGACACTCCTAACGTCGGTACACCAACGTTCATATCACTAAGAAGATGCAACACCGTCTATTGAAATCGTCCCCACGTAAAATCAGCTTAAGATGATATGAAAAGCACTGAGAAATTTAACCCTTTGCACGAGGAGCCATTTCGAGATATGGGCGAAATTCCCCTGGCCGTGCAGGGAATATTGAACCAAACGTCGGCCCTCTTAGAATTAGTAGCCAAAGGGCTAACATGTTTTAGGAGGCACACACCGATGACGTTGCCGAAGGTATACGAGGACTTCGGCTTCCCTGTTCACGTGTGGAGAGTCATAAGCACCTGTTTCCTGGAGTAGAAGAGCCTGGCGGCTCCTCCGCAGACGGGGCAGCAAGCACCTGGTGGAGTTACCCCGACGCAGTAGGGCTCGATGGGGGATGGACACTGGACAGCGGCTCCACATCTTTCCCTGGGCCTGTCTCCTATCAACCCGACGGCCACGCAGGGACCGAGGTAGTCGACGATGGTCCTCTCTGCCCATGCGGCGCACTCGCTGGGATAAACCTCCCCGTTGATCCCACAGACGGGTCCCCTGAGACTGCACCCTCTCAGACACGGGCCCCTGTTCGTAGATGTATACCGATTGAAGTATAGGTTTAAGTAATACATACGAGTATTAAGGTGAAGTGAAACCCCCTTCAAATCACTCGATTCGAATACAACACTTTTTTTTAAGGGCATTAGACCAAACTGTCCGAAACTTTGACACATCACTCCAGATCATCTAAGAATTGTCCTGACACATTCAAAATTTGGATATTTGGACAACATTTTTTAACTCAGCCCAGACCAGAAACAAAATGGCGTCGAGCTCTCATATTTCGATCGATATACAATTATCGAAGACTCTGATATGAGAAACGAAAGGGTCAGGAGAATTTTACGACAATTTAGAACACTCTGGTTATCGAGAAACTCGCATTTTAACGGGATAAGGGCAGAAAAAGTGTTGTATGCGCTTCTATGCTAAAACGATGGGAATACGAGGTCTCGGAGTGAAAATTTAATTGATCTGGAAGTCACAGATGGCGCAGGGGTTGCCTCTGCAGTCAATTAGGGCCCCAGAAAGCATGAATCCAGAGGATTTCTGGAGTTTTACTTAGATTTCTTGATATTTATTGTACGAAAACGACAGGTGGTGTATGCCATTTGGTACAATACCCAATATAATTCGACACAGCTGTCGATATAAAAACGAACGTCGGCAACGTAGGCATTTAGAAAAATCCTCTTTATCGACGTTGATCAAGTTCCTCGCCGTGTTTCACTTCACCTTAATACATGCCTTCTATGAGAGATAGGTCTGGTTTGTATGCCTGGGTGTATTTTGAATCGACACGTGTATCGATATTTATCATGGTACCTAGTATATATATCGGTAATAAGTAAGAGGATCGATGACTGGTGGTACCGGGTAATCCCTACCTGTACGCCAGCGAAGCGCCAGCCTTAATCAACGAGCAGAGGGACGGATGCTCCTGGTTGTCCCTGTCGCAGACGGGCCCTGCCGAGTAATCTCTAGGATCGCAATCAAGAGGAACACACTCGAACTGCCTGCAGGGCTTGTAGATGGGCGAGAGGCACACCCTGGGCCTCCTGACGCACTTTTCGGAAGCCGAGCACGGATCCCCGGCACAAGGGTCCCTGGAAGAGCAGCTCCCGAAGTCGACGTCGGCCGCGGAGAGGCCGTAGCACTTCGCCAAGCAAGCCGAGGCAAAGGTGGCCCCTAGTCTTCCACATACGGGGACGTAATGCGAGGGACAGTCGCAGGGTAGCGAGGGTATCTTAATTTCCCCGCAGCTCTTCCTGGAGCAGGTGACCTCGCCCTCGTTGCACTGGCAAGGGTTGCACTCGAGGTAGAAGTTGGCCCGGTCGGTTACCAGGAGCTGCTGGACCCAGCAGTACCCGAAGGCGAAGCAGTTCAGGGGTCGGCACTTCTCCAGGCCCCGGGGGGTGCACTGGCAGATCTTCAGGCACTTCTGCTGGTCGTACCTGGGCACCTGGATCCAGGATCCCAAGGGCACCAGCTGCTTGGACATCTCCCCGAGGGCGCAGGCCGGGACGCAGCTGAAGCTCTTGGAGCTGGCCGGGTGCAGGACGCACGTCTGGCCCTGGGGACAGGGATTGTCCTTGCAGGGCGTCGTTATGTCCTCGTCCGGGAGGAGAACCGAGTCCTCCTCGCGAGGGTCCTCCAGGAAGGGGCGCAGGGATACGCAGGGCATGTCTGGCTTCGGTGGAGAGAGCTTCGAGCAGAGGGTCGTCGCCGAATAGGGACCGGTCACTGCTGACCAGTCAACGCAACTCGTCATCAGCTCCAGACAGTCTTCCCTGCAGAGGCGAGTCTCGTGCACCCTGGACTCGCAAGGACGCAGCTGGAGAAGACACGCAGCTGCGCGGAGAGTCTTTGCTGGACAGGATGGAGCTGCTCTGACCTGGACTCCCAAGCCGCGGATGATCCCTCCTCTGGCCCAGTGATCTGCTTCCCACTTGGCGGCCTCGTCTGCCTTTGCCGAACACGTTCTGGAATTAATTCACCCTCGTTATTTGCGTTTCGGGGACACTTTGAAGATCCTGAGCGGGGAGGTTTAGGTGCTCACGAGACACGTGTCAAAGTTTAGGGTGGTTCGAGCCAGTACCCTTGAAAAAACAGGGTCTTATTCGAGTCGACAGATATGAGGGGGGTTCCACTTCACCTTAACCCTCTATAGGCCGAAGTTTTTTTTTTAATAAAAAAAAATTGGGGGAACGAAAAATCAGCAATTAGGAACCTATATATGCAAATGAAAAAAAATTTTTCATTTAAAATGTGACCTGAAAGTTACACGGGCCCATAGAGGGTTAAGGTGATATGAAGGGTCATTGAAAATAAATAAAAAAATTCAAATTTTCTAAGTGTCAGGATAATTCATAGGTGCTCACGAGTCACGTGTCAAAGTTTAGGGTGGTTCGAGCCAGTACCCTTAAAAAAACAGGGTCTTATTCGAGTCGACTGATATGAGGGAGTTCCACTTCACCTTAAGGTGATATGAAGGGTCATTGAAAATAAATTAAAAAATTCAAATTTTCAAAGTGTCAGGATAATTCATAGGTGCTCACGAGACACGTGTCAAAGTTTAGGGTGGTTCGAGCCAGTACCCTTGAAAAAACAGGGTCTTATTCGAGTCGACTGATATGAGGGGGTTCCACTTCACCTTAAGGTGATATGAAGGGTCATTGAAAATAAATTAAAAAATTCAAATTTTCAAAGTGTCAGGATAATTCATAGGTGCTCACGAGACACGTGTCAAAGTTTAGGGTGGTTCGAGCCAGTACCCTTGAAAAAACAGGGTCTTATTCGAGTCGACTGATACGAGGGGGGTTTCACTTCACCTTAACGTTCGTCATTGGACAGTACCCTACCTGAAAAGTGTCGTCGGTCTGTCGTTGAACCTCGCACAGTAGGAGAGACCGGCGCAGCCCATCTCGCAGGCATCATCGGCATCTTCCAGACATCTCCTGAGTTCCCCCTCAGCAGCTACGGACAGACATTGGGACTCCAGCTGAGCCGATGCCACTTCCCAGTCCGCTTGGAAAGCTCTCCAGCACAGGTTCCTGCAGGAAGCCTGAGTCGCCTTGGAACAACATGCCAATTTCCCGATCTCCAGGGGCAGACGGACAGGCTTAGCTGGAGCGGACTGCAGAAGGCAACTCCAAAGGGGGATGTGGGGCAGAACTGGGCCGCACTTCTCTGATAACGCGTCCAGAAACTCCTGATCCGTGGTTTTGGTTTGGAGGGTCTTCCGACATGTGTTCTGGCATGATACGTTCGCAGCCTTCTCGCAGCAATGGAGATCTAGGAAGAGATGAACGCGGTTCTGTTATGCTTTCTTTGCACCTTAGGTTTTCATGTACTTTTAAGTTATGCTGTCTCTATTTGCACCTCAGGTTTTCATGTACTCTTAAGGTGATATGAAAGGATCATTCTGTATATAAACGGGAAAATATTTATAAAGCTTTTCCCCAAACTGGGTGCACCAAATTGTCTGGAGATCTAGGAAAAGATTAACGCGGTTCAGTTATGCTTTCTTTGCACCTTAGGTTTTTATGTACTCTTAAGGTGATATGAAAGGATCATTCTGTATATAAACGGGAAAATATTTATAAAGCTTNGGGCACTCTGTATATATTATACGTAAAAATATTTATAAAGCTTTTCTCCAAACTAGGTGCACCAAATAATCTGGAAATCTACGAAGAAATGAACGCGGTCCAGTTACGCCGTCTTTCTTTGCACCTTAGATTTTCATGTACTCTTAACACATTAGCGACTGCTGACGTGAATTCACGTCTTTTCAAGTTCTATTCCTGATTACCGCTGACGTGAATTCACGTCTTTTTAAGTTCTATCCCTGGTTGCCGCCGACGTGAATTCACGTCATTTTAATTTCTATTCCTGATTGCCGCTGACGTCTTTTCAAGTTCTATTCCTGATTGCCGCAGACGTGAATTCACGTCTTTTCAATTCTATTCCTGATTGCCGCCGACGTGAATTCACGTCCTGCTTAGTTGGTTCATTAATTGTTAGCCGGCGCGGCGCCCAAATTTTATCATTTTTTCCTTGCTTTAAGGACACAAGTTTTGCGCCAACTAGTTTAAGAATTTCATTATTTTCGCCGGTACTCGGTATTTGAAACGGAGAAAAATTGGCCGGTCGCGAATGCGTTGATATCAGGAAGAGGCATGAAATTTAATGATCAATTGTTTTATGATACCAACATTGCTTAAGGTCTTCCGTGTTCTTCGCCTCTGCGACTGCGACTATCTTCAGACATTTCGGAATTTCGTGGAAGCAGCCCTTACTGCTGTAGAATTTAAGGGTGGATTGTTCTCCCGGCATTTGGAAGAATTTCCTGCAACCCGCTCGGCAGGTCTCGTTGGAAACGTTGCTGCAGCAACGTTCGCCATCTTCCCGCCTCTCTAGGCAAGAGAAGAACTCGGACTCGTCGCTGGCTCTGCAATTTTCGTCCAAGTCATGTCTGGACCCTGCCAGAGCACAAGTGGTCCTACAGATTGGGTTCTGGACCAAATGGCAGCATCCTCTTCCGACCCAGTTCTCGTTCCTCCTCGCTTCTGCAAATAATTCCATATTGAGAGAGTCTCGAGTCTTCTCCTTGCCTCTGGAAATAATTTCATGTTCAGACTGAGTCACGATTAAGGTGACGTGAAAGGCGCTGAGAAATTCAACCCTTTGAACGCAGAGCGATTTCGACATATGGGCGAAATTCGTCTGACCGTGCAGGCAATATTGGACCAAACGTCGGGCGCCTCTAGGCGCTCCTAGGAGCCAAAGGGTGAATCGTCATTTTTTCTCTATGAGAATACCATACGGGTCGATTTTGAGGACTAATTTTCTTTATCCGCGAAAATAGAAGAAGTTTGAGAGATTCGTAGAACTTTCTGGACGACTTAATATATCGCTATAATAGCTAACCCATTTCGACATATGGGCGAAATTCCTCTGACCGTGCAGGCAATATTGGACCAAACGTCGGCCGCCTTTAGGCGCTCTTAGTAGCCAGAGGGTTAATCGAAGTCGATAAAATTCCAATGAAATTTCATTAGTCCAAGAAAAACTGTTCTGTTATCCCAGATTAGAGACCAAGCACACATATTTTTCTTTATTAAATATAATTTCATAAGCATCGCGTTCCTCCTTAGGGTCTCCATAATCACGTGCTGAAGTTTCCATCGAGTCGGTGCATGCAGTTAGGAGAAAAGTTTTATATTTTCACGTTTTATATACATAGAATGACCCTTTCATATCACCTTAAGATGATATGAAAGGCGCTGGGAAATTTAATCCAGGTCGATCAATTAAAATTCAATCTATACCCTTTTTGGAGGTAACGTCATTTTCAATACTCAAGTGGGAACATTTCTGAGCGAGAAATATTATATATATATATTTCTAAATAATAATATTTTATTATTCATTATCTATTTTAATAATATAGGCTGACTCATATTAATTAATCGACCTCGATAAAATTTCTCAGCGCCTTTCGTATCACCTTAATTCACTAAATGTAACATTGTTGCACTTACTTTTCAGGGTCGAATTGACGCAATTCCAGAAATCCCCCTGAAACATTCCCATCGAGGATCCGATCAGCGATTCGTTTTAATAAAATCAGAGAAATCCGATACTATTCACTTTCCTCGATCGACGTCGAATCGTTTTGCGCGGATCGCTTCTTTAGAAACCGATCAAAGAAGATCTAGTTGCAGTCTTTAAGCCCGCGTGGTAGAATCATCTATTGTCGTTCCCGATCCAGATCTCGGAGAAAAAAGAATTCCAATGAACTCGAGACCGAGGACGTCGATCGTGGGGATGAATGAATCGATTAAACGCCTTCTTACCAATTCCGGGGAACAGAATTCCAACAGTTGAGGGGCCGTTTTTTCCCGCGCCTCCGCGTCAGCTCCTAGGGTCACCAAAGGTATCTAGAAGAATGGTACTCTATTAAATGCATTGCTCAAAAATCCTACCAAGTGCTCTCCTTTAAGAGGATATGAAAGGCGCTAAGAAATTTAATCGACGATAAAGGAAAAAATCTGTACCCTTTTTGGGGGGTAAGGCCGTTTTGTACACTAAAGCGGTAACATAACCTGGCGCGTAACGTTACTGACATTTATATTTATGTTCAAGTCTTTTATAGTCTACGTTGAGAATTATATAAACTTAAGTCATTTCGGTAAAGTAATGATAAAAAAATATGTTTTAGAAGCGGAATCCTGCCGGTGGTAGAAACGAAACGAGGAACGAAACGTCGTTTAGAAACATTATCATAACTTATACTCATGATGGACATACCAGGGACCTCATACGAATATTTCATGATCACATAATGTAGCAATGGATAATTAAGAATGAAAACAATTGTACCCCTCGTTTGATAACAGTCACATGTTTTAGAAGGGGAGTCCTGCCAGTGGTCGAAACGAAACGAGGAACGAAACGCTGGTTAGGAACGTGGCCATAACTTATGCTCGCGTTGGACATACCAAGCGCATGAATTTCGTACATATATTTCATGATTAGATATTGTAGCAAAGGATAATTAATAACGAAGACAGTTGTAGGCCTCGTTTGATAACAGTCACATGTTTTAGAAGGGGAATCCTGCCGGTGGTAGAAACGAAACGAGGAACGAAACGTCGTTTAGAAACATTATCATAACTTATACTCATGATGAACATACCAGGGACCTCATACGAATATTTCATGATCACATAATGTAGCAAAGGATAATTAAGAATGAAGACAATTGTAACCCTCGTTTGATAACAGTCACATGTTTTAGAAATGGAATTCTACCAGTGGTCGAAACGAGAAACGAAACGCTGGTTAGGAACGTGGCCATAACTTATGCTCGTGTTGGACATACCAAGCGTAGGGACCTCACGCGAGGACACCTATTGAATCTCGAATGAGGACGAAATTGATGTCCTGGCGATTCCTCGTAGCGATTTGTCATTCCACGAGGCAGGAAACCCTTGGCATTAGTGGCGGCGCATGACAAATTCCCCTGATGTCTAGGTTTCTCGTCGAGCTGGGTTACATGGGCCTCGCGTAATCTTTTAATACTGATAAGGCAATGTCAAAAAGGGCCACGGAAATCATATGTAAACTCTGCTTTTTTATATTTATTCGACGATACGTACCCTACTGGTCAAGAAAATGGACGACTCTAATATTCAAAGCTGTAGATAACCGTATTGAAGATTCCTTTATTCGTTATCGTTAGATTAAATACTGATAAGGCGATGTCAAAAAGGGTCACGGGAATCATATCTAAACTCTGTTTTTTTTTTAATATTTATTCGACGTTACGTACAATGGCGGACATGAATGCCTCCCCTGCAGATACGGCATCGCCTGTGCATGATGGGAAGGCATTGATGTCTCCCAGTGTACTTAAAGTCTGAAGCGTATTTCCGTCGCTACGCCTGCGATTATTCTTGGAGGTATGTCGTCGACCGTGTCTAAATTCTGCAACGACGCAAAATAAGTGCGACGAGAAGTTGGACTTTTTCTTAAGGTGAAGTGAAACCCGCCTCAAATCAGTCGGCTCGAATAAGACACTCTTTTTTTAAGGGCACTGAATAGAACCGTCTGAAACTTTGACACATGGCTCGTGAGCACTTAGGAATTATCCTGACACTTTGAAAATTTGGATTTTTGGTATATTTTCAATGACCCTTTCATATCACCTTAAGAGGAAGTGAACCCCCTCTCAAATAGTGTTCTAAATTCTCGTACAATTTCCCCAACCGTTTCTCATATCAGAGCCTTCAATAATTGGTCGCGTGTCAAAGTTTAAGGCGGTTCGATCCAACACCTTAAATAAAAGTGTCTTATTCGAGTCGAATGATTTGAGGGGGGTTTCACTTCACCTTAATACAGGGGCCAATGTCCTCCGGGATTAGATTTAGCTTTGGAGTTTCAGTAAATCGGAGTTCGGGAGGAATTAAAATGGCTTCGCGGGCGTCGTGGTTGCATTTAGGTCCGAGCCGCGTCAAAAGGTACGAAAATAGAGGCTGAGCTTTTTTGTGCTTTCCACGCCGCGTTTCTGCGTGGGTTTGCTGATTCTGTGGCCAAAGAAATTCATCGAGGTGTCGGAGGTAATCGGAGGTAATTGTGAAGACACTTACACCGATTTTTCTTTCTATATATATAGAATGACCCTTTCATATTCCAGCTTAATGAGTTATAAACAATTATGTGTAAATGTTCCACAAGAGAGGCGTCATTTCAGGGGGACCAAAATGGCGGCGTTGGCGAAGACTCCAACGGTCAGTTATCCCAGGCGAAATTCCTGTAAACTCGGGAGGTAAAGTAAGTTTTAGTACGTAGATGCGACTACGTGATCGGCGAGATTACGAGCAAAATTGAACAACTCGCTTTACAATTCTTCCCGAGCCTCCTTGCCGAAAATAGTACCGCGGAAAGAGTAACCAGCTGGATCGTTATTATTCTAGGTACGCCTCCATGCCATAACTCTTCTATACGACCCCATGAGTTTACCATTTCTATCCACGCTCGCCTTTCCACGTGGTTAAACAAAATTTCACTTTTCCCTATAATTTGCGCCGCAAAAATATATATATGTATATATCTGCGTAATTTATTTCTTTATTAAAAGGTAGGTGCATGTTTTAGTTCTTCGTCGTTAACCTTTCTTTCATACAATAATTTCCACTTTGCGCGTAATACTTGCTCCCTCTTAGGTCTTGAATAGTTCTTGTTTTTTGAAGTTAGAGAAAAATAAAAACCGTGCATAACATTTCAGTTAAGAATTTTTGTTTCATATAGTTAGAGAGAACAAAAAAAAAAGGTTCGTGTGTAACATTTGAGTTTACCATTTCTATCCACGCTCGCCTTTCCACGTGGTTAAACAAAATGTTACTTTTCCATCAAAATTTGCGCCGAAAGAAAAAAAANGGCATCAATTCTTCTTTATACAGAAGTTAATCAGTAATTTTAATTTATGGCCGGGTAAAATTGGAAAATCTTTAAATTAAACGGTAAATACTTGAAACGAATACACATATATACGTTAAAATATAAAATAATAAGCTACTCATTTACGACCCGACTATTAAACACTAAAAAGTGGTTCTTGAAATGATGGGCATCAATTCTTCTTTATACAGAAGTTAATCAGTAATTTTAATTTATGGCCGGGTAAAATTGGAAAATCTTTAAATTAAACGGTAAATACTTGAAACGAATACACATATATACGTTAAAATATAAAATAATAAGCTACTCATTTACGACCCGACTATTAAACACTAAAAAGTGGTTCTTGAAATGATGGGCATCAATTCTTCTTTATACAGAAGTTAATCAGTAATTTTAATTTATGGCCGGGTAAAATTGGAAAATCTTTAAATTAAACGGTAAATACTTGAAACGAATACACATATATACGTTAAAATATAAAATAATAAGCTACTCATTTACGACCCGACTATTAAACACTAAAAAGTGGTTCTTGAAATGATGGGCATCAATTCTTCTTTATACAGAAGTTAATCAGTAATTTTAATTTATGGCCGGGTAAAATTGGAAAATCTTTAAATTAAACGGTAAATACTTGAAACGAATACACATATATACGTTAAAATATAAAATAATAAGCTACTCATTTACGACCCGACTATTAAACACTAAAAAGTGGTTCTTGAAATGATGGGCATCAATTCTTCTTTATACAGAAGTTAATCAGTAATTTTAATTTATGGCCGGGTAAAATTGGAAAATCTTTAAATTAAACGGTAAATACTTGAAACGAATACACATATATACGTTAAAATATAAAATAATAAGCTACTCATTTACGACCCGACTATTAAACACTAAAAAGTGGTTCTTGAAATGATGGGCATCAATTCTTCTTTATACAGAAGTTAATCAGTAATTTTAATTTATGGCCGGGTAAAATTGGAAAATCTTTAAATTAAACGGTAAATACTTGAAACGAATACACATATATACGTTAAAATATAAAATAATAAGCTACTCATTTACGACCCGACTATTAAACACTAAAAAGTGGTTCTTGAAATGATGGGCATCAATTCTTCTTTATACAGAAGTTAATCAGTAATTTTAATTTATGGCCGGGTAAAATTGGAAAATCTTTAAATTAAACGGTAAATACTTGAAACGAATACACATATATACGTTAAAATATAAAATAATAAGCTACTCATTTACGACCCGACTATTAAACACTAAAAAGTGGTTCTTGAAATGATGGGCATCAATTCTTCTTTATACAGAAGTTAATCAGTAATTTTAATTTATGGCCGGGTAAAATTGGAAAATCTTTAAATTAAACGGTAAATACTTTAAATGAATACACATATTAACACTAAAATATATAATAATAAGTTAAATGCAAAAATTGAAATGTAGATTTTCACATCCGTCGAGTACTTCGCGTTAGTACATTCTTTCCCTCGTGGGAAGTACATGATCATGAACATGTAATGGCGTCTTTAGCTCGCACAATCCATGTCTTTAAGACTCCTAAGACGCCACTTTCACATCCCCTTAAGACATCTGGCAAATGTCAGGCCCGAAGTGCGTGCTCATGATTTCGGTGTAAGAGGACCTAGAGGATTCTGTTTTTCTTTCCTTTGAAAGGAACGTGCGTGCGACCGTATGTTGGGTAAGGACCGGAGGGTTTCATTTTCCTTCCTCGCTGTGAAAGGAACCACTTGGGCAGAGTTCTGGCTCTCATCAGGATGACCAAAGCCAGGGACAGAGAAGGCACCCGGATGCGGGAAGAGCCAATATGTCAAAATCAAAACTGAAGGACCCAACCCCTCCCAAGACCGCACGTGGTGGACGTGCCCAAGAAAAAGCCCGATATCCCAAGTTTAGGATCTTTTCTAAAACATCGACCACCACATTTTCCCATCTGACTCTG